GGATCCATTCTCAAGTTACGGAGTGAAGGATTCAATTATCTCGTTCCCACAGACGGCGCCAAAATGTGAGGGATAAAACTCAATTCCTAATTTAGATCAGGTTTAGATTGGAGGAAAGATAATCGTGGGCTGAATCCTGTTTAGAACTTAAAGAGTGAATACAATTGTATTGATGTTTTTGGTGAAAGGCGATTACAAGTGTTTTGATCTGTGATTACAAAGAATGAAGAATCGTTTTAGAGTTCTTGAATATATGAATAATGAATAAAATCTGGATCCCTTGCTCTGATCTCCTCCTCCTCTTTTATAGCTCGCGACCATATTTCAACAACCTCAGCTAACCTCCGAATTTGCTCCGTGAGTTGAGGGATTCTCAACAGTCTCCTTTTGACCGGGTCCTGCGCATCCATCCTGAGCTACTCCTACTAGCTCTCTGTGAATGAGGTCCGGAGTTCTCTTCCGTGGCCTGTTTTGTTAACCTTTCTTTCCTGAGCAAAATAGCCTCCAGCTTCTTTTTAATTCCTTTCTCAAGACTTAATTGCTAATGGGCTTATAATAGCCCATTGTCAACTCTTATTACTCAAGCCTGTTAATTTCAGCTAACAGGCCGTATTTGGGCCCAACATTCACTATCAACACTACCCTTCAGTCCCAAGTATTTACGCTGATATGGATATCTTTTCTGTAGGAAGAATAGCATTATGGAACCAGAGCTAGACAGGAATCTTTATCTTTGGATAATTTGGTATATTTGGAAGACTCGGAATGATAAATTGTTCAGAGGAATTGACAGAGATCCTTTGGAACTAGTCCGATATGCGGAGAGAGAATGCCAGGCTTGGTTTAATGCAAATGAGAGTGCTATATCTGAACCACATGAGAAAAGTAGTAATGACGGTCAGGTCATAAGCCTGGCTAATATTTGTATGGTGGATGGTTCATTGACCTCTACATCTCAGTTTAGTGGATGTGGATGGGTATGGTTTGATAACCTAGGGAACAGTCAACTTATGGGAATGCGAAACTCAAGAAGGAATGAGACGTCGTTGCATTCGGAAGTAGAAGTACTGCGATGGGCAATGCAGAACATGCTTCAACATTCGTCATGTCAGCGCTTTGGCATGGATTGCAAGGACTTAATCGCAATGGTAAATGATACGCCCTAAATCGGGAAAAGATCACTCAATCGGACTGAAGAGATATGAACTCGCCAGAAGGGAGAACTAGTGGATTGAACGGTGACACAAAGGGTTGCGGATGGCCCAATGATACTACCAGACTTCGATCGTTGCCGGATATGCCACACCGGTCCAAGAAAAGAAGGATCAAAACTTGGAGATAACCTCACTAAGAAACTAAGAAATGTTCTACAAAGAACAAAGAGAGATAAACTCATAAAAAGGGGAAAAATCTGATTTATTTCATGGTTCATAGGCCCTATTTATAGGATTACAATTTCTAGAAATCCAAAGAAGAATGTGCTAAAAACAAGACATTAAAAACAAAAACAAAAACAAAGACTTGACTAATAAAGTATTTGACTGAAATTTGGACTGCCTCTTGATATGGCCACGACCAGGACTTATTTGTTGACTCCCTCTTGGTATTCTTGATGAGAATGGGTTTGAAATGGACTGAAGAAAGGGCTGTCGAATTTGGATTAATACAAACCCATAATGAAACTTTTATGAGTTTTCTTTGGGCTGAAAAGGCTTATTTCGTCCAGCAGCTAAACTAGCTCAATCTTCAGTGTTGCTTAGCTCACTCAGTTCCAAAGTAGTGTCACTTATCTCACTTAGCTCCTACAGATCCAAAGTAGTGTTGGTCCAGCTCACTTGAATGTTCACATGTCTGAATTCGCGAGAACTGAAGATCATCTGATTTGTAAATGACATAACTCCTACATCTGAACTTTGTTTGATCTAATTCTTCTTCGAGGAGCTCTTTAATTGAGTTGAACACATTCTCCAAATTATTTCATGCGTAGAAGCCTCGTGGTTTGGAAGATATGAGTCAAACAATGAACATATATCTTTGCTGCATCCCGTGATCGAGTCATGTATGTCTGTTTTGCCTGGTTCTCTACCCAAGGGCGAATCATTCCCTACCTCTTGAAAAGGATTTGACCTCAAATCAATTTTATCTGTATCAAAAGGAAATGATCTAGACAAAAAGAATTTAAAGATCATGTAGAATTTAGTGAAGGCAAATTTTGGAAAGAAACTTCCTTGGAGTTTTGAAGTCGCTTTCCTCAAATACTTCCAGTTCCATGTCCCTGATATATAAGACCTTTGTTGTTGTCCTGTGCTCGCTCTCCTTATGAGTTGATCATGCTTACCCTGTACTTTCAAAACAACTAGAGAAACTACATCAAATCTGCGAAAGAAATAATCAAAGAGTTTCTCTATCCTTAAGACATCAAAACAGGATCCAAGCTCTTAGGATAATCATCAAGAACGTGGGTAAACATTAACCAAGTAAATTGAGTGCCAGGAACTGGTTTACTTGTTTTAAAATCAAGCAAAGCTTTGAGACTGGTAGGAAAAGAATGAGAAAATGCCAACTTTGAAAACTTCTCAACATGAATGAAATCAAATTGATTCTCTGGTCTAAGCAGTTTCGGTTCATGCCTTTTCCAAATCCAAATTTCTTTCAATGCACAACTCAATGAAAACACATCATGAAAAGATTTAAGCAAAACGTTTTTGTACCAAGTAAAGACATGTTTTCGCAAAGAAATGTTTGGGTTCAAAACGTTTTCATGATGAGCAGAAACAATCAACTCATGATCCTTACAATGCTGTTGGCTTTCACAAGGAATTGGCTGAGGAATCACCCTTGGTTCAATGCTTTCCACTGGTTGCAACAGTTTCTTTGGTGGTGAACTCTTTGGTGCCTCTTTTGTTGGGTTTCCTTTGAACAGGAATGAGAACCAGATGGTGAGTCCATGATAAGTAACTTGGTGATCAAACTGCCATTGACTCTTTAGAAAGATGTGAGTGGCTCCCATAAGAAAACCACGGCCTATGCTTTCACTTCTCTGAGACTGAACATGTCTATCTTGGACACTCAAAACAAACAATAATACCAGGATCATATGTACAAGACGTGTACTTGTGCAAATCAGAAAACAAAGTCTCTTTCCCAAGAACATGTAGCACAAGTTTCATGCTTTCAAGATACTCATCAAAGTAGACATTATAGATCAGAATTTTATCAAGATATGCAACAATGTTATTCATGTTCAAGACGTGCATATCCTTCTCAATATCTGAACACAAAAGAGTAAGTTCTGATTGAGAAACATCTATCACAAGTTCAAGACGTTTTTCAAAGAATGTGTTGTAAACCAAAATATCATCACAGTTAAAGACATCACAATTATCAAGAAATGATCTCCGAAACTGCCAAGTTTTATCAGTTTCAAAACACACAAGATCAGGCTGCAAAACAAAGCCACCAAACTCAGTAAAGAAACCAGGAGCTTGGCCTACTTTTGCAACGGAATTAGAAGCAATCAAGACACTACTTATATGTTTTCCAGACTTCGAGATACATCATATCCTAAGAGCTCAAAACAAACTTCGAATGCCTTAGCTAAGAATGCAAAGTATTTTTATAAATAACTATGTTTTGTTGGTTATTTTATTCCGTAGTGATTACCCAAACTACATCAAATTTAAGTAATAGAATAGCCGTTTGCTGTAAAAAAAATTATAAAAGCTTCTACAACAAAATAAGCCGCGCTAATGCCCTTTTCCAAAAGTAAAATAAAATTACCAGCGCTAACGCAAGCCTAATATTCTTTCTTACCAAACTACAAAATCAAACTGAAAGAACTATGCTTCAAACGGAAAATAATCCACTCGTGCTCTCTTAATGTACTTAAATCATTTAACGGAATCATGATTAAGTACCAAAATTTCTTGATTTTGCTCTTCTTCCCCTCTTGTGTTGGAGAAATTCATATGGGCAATTTCAACACTTTTCGCCTCATCGTTTGAAATTTTTTTGCAAATCTTTATCCTTTTATTCTGGACAAATTTGATAAGTTGGTGACTTGCGTCCCCGCTAATAGTTGCACTTCTAACTCTTTCAACTTCCTTAACAATGCCCTTGATGAAATCAGCTTCGGAACTGCAAAATATTGTAACTTACTTAGTACTCGAACTCCCATGCGATTGTTTGGTTTAAGTTGTGTTCAACATAAGTTCATAAACCGTTGGTTTTATAAAAAAAAAAATATTTCTTTTTATGTTTTGTAATTTACATATAGAATAAAATCTATTATTTTATATATAAATATTTAATAATAAATTTTTTATTGGTATATAATATTATATTAGAAAATTTATAATTTGATGCGTTTTGATGTAATTGTATTATTCATTTATTAACATGTTTTTTTAAATAATTTATTTTAAAATAAAACAACATTCTAAAAATTAATTGTTTGCATTAGTTTTCTATGAATTATCATTAGTTTTATGATATTTTATTTTCTTGAAAATTGAAATCTCAAAATTTTATATATGACTAAATTAATAAGGTAATACTATATTTAAAGATTATTTTATATAATATATATTTAGGTTTGTATTTTTGTTTTCACCACAAAGAAAAAAAAATCCATTGTAATTAATTAATTATAATTTATTTTAAATGCAATGGAAAAATATGTAAATAAAAGTACAAAAAATATTTAATTTATTATAAATGTAATTGCTAAATATATAAATAAAATGAAGTACTTAATCTGCTATCAATATTTCTAAACAGTACAAAAATATAATTCAATTTTAATAATATAGATATATATCTTTTGAATGTATTTTAATCAAAATATTCCACGTGATAAACTACCGGTTATGGAAAGATATATGGAAGATAACTGAAATAAGAGCACCAGATATTGAAGTAGCAAACCGTTGTGTTCGAATCTCCGTATATTTATTATTGTTTTATGTTTTCTTTTGTGATGGTTAAACCCTAACAAGAACTCAGGAACACAATAAGAACGAGTAGTACCTTTTGTCTCTCAAGGACAACCCCATCTTGTTGGAGATACACTCTAGGGCATCCTTCCACTTCTTGATCTGATCTCCACTTGAAACCTTTGCTAGCGCCCAAAATTTGTCCCCAAACTTGCCTGTTTGTCCTCTCACATCTCTTGCCCTTACCTTGTAAAAGATGGGAATGACTTCGAGCTTCCCTTTATCCACACGTTTCTTTATCTTCACTAGCTCATCCATGCACCAGCTCGACTCCGCATACCTGTGGAGACATACGATCAAAATTTATTATACTGAAACTCCAGCTAAGACTAATGATGTAAATGAAGCAATCAATAATATTATGCATCTATGGATAAGACCTACATGTGTCGAAGCGATTTGAATAAATGAGAAACATAAAAAATTAAGTAAATGTTGATAATTCTTAACAATACCTGCTAGAGAAGATTACCAGTGCGATATTAGACTCTTTCATCCTTAGAAAGAGGTTTGTCAAATCTCTGCCTCTTTGCTCGTCCTTATCTATGAAGAACATGATCCCGTATCTCTCAAATGCGTCTATGAGATGACTGACGAACCCATAGCGTAACTGGTCTCCTCGATAATTGAGGAACACACTACCAAAGTTGGAGAGAGACGAGATCGTCATGGGGAGAACTGTAATTTAGAGTCTGGGTAATAAGTGGGTGTCTGGAGTCTGGACTAGTGGATTATACCACTACAAATGATGAATATTTATACATGGCCTAAGCATCATAACTCAAGTTAAATGTTTTTTTTAGTTACAAAAAAAGTTAAAATGTTTTTTTTTTGGGGTTAAAAGTCCAAATCAAATAGTTGGGAAGACTATGGTGGCAATTTTTATGAAGAAGACTACGACTTTAGTCATTTCGCAGTGACTGCTAGATTCTCGAAAACAAGCAAGTGTCTTAGTTTGAGTCTGTATAAAACTCACAACAAGAAAAAAAAAAGTCTAGGTCTGCGTATGATTCACACTGAGTAGTACGCGGTCTCACGCGGCCCTTAACGCAAAAATGAATTGTCAAGGCTCGTGCAATTCTTTTGGATTATATCATTAATTTAGACAAACAAACAAAAAAAAATCATTAATTTAGACATGTTTTTTTCTCTGAATAGTGTGGCTAGGCGTCTCAAGATTATCCAAATGCCTTAGCGAAGTATTATTACAATTATTATCCATATAGCTAGATTTTAATCCTTGCTAACACACAGAGAGTTAGTCTTTAAAAAAATATTTTGATGGGAAATATATGTTTTGTTTCTATTTATGTGTAGATCAATGTAATTTATTTAATAATTTAGAAATAAATAAAATTATATTTGTTGAAGCTGAATTTTTTGATTTTTCAAAATACAATAGGCTCGGCCAGTTAATTTTTTTTATAACTTATAGTAATATTCGGATGTTAAAATTTAACAAAACATTTGTCGAACAAAAAGGCATTTTGTTGAGGCAACATAATATAATTATTTTAATACCAATTTAATTTTATTAGTAAAAATTGAATATGTAGTTTTTAATAATTTTAATAACAACTTTGAATTAAAATAGTTAAATTCAAAAATATTAATTTTCTTTATAGATTTCGCTATACTCAGAAAAAGAATATTTATCTTCAAAATAAAAGTATATAAGAAGAAATAATGAACAAATTAGTTACAAATGACATTATTGCCTTTAACAAAATTGCACAAATCTCTTATATATTACTAGATACGGACCTATGCGTTGCATGAATTTTTAATGTTTTAACTTCATTAAAACATAAAAATGAGAAACTTTATTTATTGTAATTGTATGACTTTTACATATAATGTGTAAAACTTATTTCAAAGAATATTTTTTTTTGTTTTTTGACATAAATTTTAGTTGATATTTATATTTTAGTAATCGTAGTGATAAAGTGTTATTAGCAGCTTTTTACTTGTTAGAAAAAAACAGACTCAAAAATTCAAATTGAACCTAACCCTGAAAAATATGAAGTAAAGTGAAATAAAAAATAAAAAAGTTGAATAGAGCCAATCGAATCGATGAAAACGTCATACACATTCTTATACTCTTAGTTTAATATTTTTATTAACTTCATATATTATCTTCTTATTCAAACATATTCTAATGTTTCCATGGTCGTTTAGTAATGTTTGCCTTTTCATTATAGGTTCTTTAATAAAAGGAAGACTATAGTTAAAATAACTTATATATTTTGTAACTATTTTTAACACCAATATTTTTTCATGGGCAGTTCTCCTAGATATCCCTATTTTAGTTTTTGTCCCAAAACTAGCCTCTCAAGATGAAAGTCACAAATATAACCTCTATTAATAGGTCAAAAGATATTATTACCCATACCTAATAAACAATAAACAATTGATAAAAAAAATTACTCACACCATATATTCCCGGACGAAAATGATGACGACGAGATGAGTTCACGCTGCCGATGTCGCCGGAGACAAAGTTCCGAAGAATCAGACTGTTTACTCTTTTAGCATAACAAAATGGACCTTATAAATGCAAGTTTTGAATGATTTCAATTACAAACTGAAAAAAGGGTTATCAATTAGAAATTTTTGGATTCCGATGATGCTGAATGTTATAATTTTTTGTGATGTATTTTATTTCAGTTCCTCCTTCTCCTCCTCAGTCGCCTAACTACTCTGTAGAGATCTGCTCACATGCAAGTGTATTTGTTGAGAACGAGAAGTTATTGAATATTACTTCTTCTTTTGTATGTAACATAGTTGAGTGATCCTGTTATACAGTATAATTGTTGCTGAATGTTTGTTTGATTTTCTTTTGGCATCCAGGATTTTGATGGAGAAGCTTTGGAGAAATTTGTCAAAGAATCAAGCATTCCGCTTATGACCGTCTTTGACAACGATCCAAATAACCATCCTTATATCAAGTTCTTTGACAGTCCTAATACTAAGATAACTCATAGATCTTAACCCCATCACACTGTAACCAATTCTTGATATTACTACAAACATAGATAGATTCATGTTATCCCTTTACTTTTAGTCGATAAGTATTTAAGTTGTTTACTTTTAGTGGTTTTGGTCATGTGTTTAAGGTAAAAGATCACATAATGAGATGAGTCTTGTTAATATAGTGCATTGTATGCTGATAATAGAATCTTGTTTTTATAGGGTGTGTTATCAGATGGAAGAATTGTAGCAATTAAGTAGCTCTCATCTAAATCAAAACAAAGGAACATAGAGTTTCTAAATGATATTGACACAATTTCTTGCCCTCAACATCCAAACCTTGTCAAGCTTCTTGGCTTCTGTGTCAAACGGTCTCAGCTGTCTAGTGTATCAATACATGGAGAACAACAATTTTGCTCAAACCTTATTAAGTGAGTTATTTTTTGGTTTCCAAGACTTTATTTTGATGCTTTAGTTCTAAAGAAAATGTGTTTGTTACTTTGTTGTTGGCAATTTTGTTGATCCAAAGCATAAAAAAAGTCGACTAGACTAGCCTAAGAGGTTTAAGATTTGCAATGGAACTGCAAAATGTCTAGCGTTTCTCTATGAGGAATCTCCGTTGAAGTTTGTACACAGAGATATCAAGGCCACTAATAATTTAATCTGAGGAAGGTGTTTCAAAGTTTCAAGATTGTTTTCTATAATTTAAAAAAAAAAAATCAGGAAGGTGTTTCAATGTTTCAGGATAGCTTTCCAGAAACTCCGATGCATAAGAATCTGATTTTTTTTTTTTTGGCTTGGTTACGGAGGACAGCAACATAATGGGAGATTCAATACATGTCATGCTAAGACTATGTTTTTGAACTTTGACGTTGACTTGGAAAAATAAGAAGTTTGTAATGAATGATGACGACGTTTGTTTCATTTAGGTTGTTATTAAAGAAATTTTAGGATGTCTTGAAGCATTGTCAATAATTCTATTAAGAAAGTGTTAAAATGTGTTATCATTGTAAAACACATATCCTATCTAGGATAGCTTATGGTATTTTTAGGATGGGTTTCCAGAAAATAAAATGAGTAAGCATAAGCCTTTACTTGAAAAAATAATTAATTGTAAAAGTATCAGGATTGAACACAAGAACTCTAGGAAATGGAATCTTCTCGTCAGCTGTGATAATGACATCAAGCAAATCAATTTGCAAAGAAAATGATATTACTTTGTTTGAAGCCTCATTCCATTCAGATTCAGATTGCGTTTGTTCCTTGACCAAGCGAAGAATCGACATGTAATGCTCCTAGGCTTCTTTTTCTCTTTGTTAACCGTAAATTTTATATTATAAACATTGGAAAGAACTTTGAAATTTTTGGATGGGTTTCCAGAATAGTAGAATATAAGTATGTTTCTTTCTAGAAATGAAATTTAACCTAAAAAAATGGAGTGAGATCAAAAACTAAGGATTGATATCTGCATATTTGGGAAATTTCAAATTGTGATTTGAAATTTTGGAGCAAAAAAAAAAAATCAAATCCATGTTTGTTTGTCAGCGGTAATGGCTATTCCGTTGTTCGTTTAGCCTCATTTTCCACATCCTCCTAATGGAATATATCATTTGGTTGATTCTTGATATCCCACCAGGACAGGTTATCTTGGTTAGCATCATCAAGTTCGTTATCATCTTGATCAATTTACACTTTTTCTTTGTTCTTATTGTTAAAGATTGCTCTTGTTTTTACCTCGTAACTTTTAAGTAAGCTAGTTTGCTTGTCAAATATTGTTCTTGTTTAAGTTGTTTCGCGTTGAATTTGATTATGACATTGTTACTTACTTGCGTGTGCTCGTATGTAACTAAGTATCCTGATTTCAAGAAGAATTTGTAAAACAAGTAAGTAGGCAGTCCCAGCGTTCCTGAGTGTGAATTTGATTTTGACATTTTTAGTCGCTTTCTTGTGTTTGTGAAACTGTTGGACTTTGTCAATTTTAGTAAGGATTTGTGTAGTTTCAGGAAAGCTTTGCAGAAAATCTGATATTAACATATTTGAATTTTCTTGTGTTTGGTTACTTGTTTTGTTTACTAAGCATATTTATATAAGGCTCATGAATTTGTTTTTTACATTTCTAGACGATTGTTTGTGCTTGTGAAACTGTGTGTCTTTGTTAAGTTTAGGAAGGATTTGTGTAGTTTTAAAAAAGCTTTCCAGAAATTTCGGTATTAACAAATTTGCAAAACTTTTTGCTTGGTTACTTGTTTGGCTTACGCATATTGATATTTTGGTAGGATCGTGAATTTTCTTAGGATATTTTTAGACGATTTCTTGTGTCTGTGAAACTGTGTTTTCTTTCCAGGAAATATTTGTATAGTTTCAGGAAAACGTTTCAGAAAATTTGGTGTTAACAAATTTTGAAATATTTTTTTACTTGGTTATGCATGGTAGTAACACGATGAGAGATTTATTACCTATCAGACTAACACTACCTGAGCTGAAGTAACAGATTGGTTTAGAGCCAAGACAAAACAATTGGAGATTTATGGTGATTACTGAAAATTTTTTAGATTTCTAAATGTAACAAGAAAGCATTACACATATTCTGGATAACTTTATAAAACCAAAAAAAAAATAGAAAAAGTGTTTATAGACATTGGAAAGCTTTCTTAAAAATACAGATGCATAGACACACAAATTTCGTTATATTTCTTTTCA